TATTTCAGAATAAGTCAGCTTCTCTGTCGTTGAGTCCCCAGAGTGTCAGTACGAGTCAGAGTGTCGTCGAGGGAGGTAGTCAGCGGCGTCGCTCTGGTGGATTTCGTTCGAGTTTGATTATTTTTGCCTTCACATTCCTTCTGTTTCCGAGTATATTAGTTTTGTTTTACAATATTGAGCCGTTTTTTAACGCTCGTTTAACATTAACTTAATGTTAAACTTACTTTTAGCGACAACTACACCATATTTATGATATACTTGTGAAATTTCAATTATGTTTCGACAATCCTTGTATTTATCTTGACAAGATCATATTTGTTTATTAAAAGTCTTGAAAGAGTATTGTCTTTAATAATTTCTCTGTGAATATTTAATATTCATAATTTCCATGTTTGGATAGTTTTTTCAATTTATTTTCTTGTTGTTTGCTGGTATTTAATGTTATGTATTAATTATTTATATTTTATAAATAATTTGACACAGGAAATATTCTGCAACTATAGTTTTGAGTGGTGAGTTAAAGGCCGCCTTTGCTACTCCAGTTTTGTCCAGTGTGTAAAGGATAGTCTCTGCTAGACCAGTGTTAAATTGAGTGTGGAATGCAGCCTATGCAACTCAAGTGTTGTCTAGCATGTAAAAGGCAGCCTTTGAAGCTCTAGAGATGTCTGGCAATGAATGGCAGCCTCGTCAACCCAGTGTTATCTAGCTTATAGAAGGCAGCTTTAGCAACCATAGAGATAAATAGCGTCGAAGGTAGCCTCTATATCCGGAAAAAACGCAGGTATATAGAAGCTATCTTCAATATACCAGCATCATCACTGGCACTCTAGTAGGTAGCCACTACCTACCCGAGTGGTCTAGTAGGTAGACATCTAGAGATGCTGGCACTCAAGAGGCCAAAACATCATCCCACATGCCATCTAGGCACTCTGGAGACTAGACTCTAGAGAGCCATATAGTATTTCAAAGAAAAAAAAGAGTTAACATAAGCGGAATTAAGTCCGAGTGGGGCACCGTTGTTAGTGGAGTTCCTCACGTCTCTCTCTATCCTAAGACCTCACTTGTGTACTGTGTACATAATTGATTTTGACTCGGGATATGTTTAGATTCAGGAAAGACCTCGGGAAATACTCCTATGGAGACGCAGGTCTTGATTCATGTAACGCAGCGTTAACATAAGAGGAAGGGGGGGGGGGGGGGGGTCGCTGGACTGTTTCAGGCGTCAGTTAGATGTGTAGATGAATTGCTTTGGGTGGATATGAATAAAAGATGAATCGTTTATGCTGGATAGATCTTCTGCAATTTAATTGGTCCTTCTGTTCTTATGCAACTAGTTTGTTGGTTAGAGTGTGAAAGGCAGCCTCTGCAACCATTGTGAAGACTAGAATTTGAGAGTCAGTATTTGCATTGATGGTATAGATCAGCGTGCGGAAGGCAGCCATTGCAACTATTGAGATGAAGCGAGTGTGGAAATCAGCCTCTGCAACCCCAGCTTTGGCTAGAGCTTGGAAGGAAGCCTCTGCAACCCCAGCTTTGGCTAGAGCTTGGAAGGAAGCCTCTGCAACCCCAGCTTTGGCTAGAGCTTGGAAGGAAGCCTCTGCAACCCCAGCTTTGGCTAGAGCTTGGAAGGCAGCCTCTGCAACCCCAGCTTTGGCTAGAGCTTGGAAGGCAGCCTCTGCAACCCCAGCTTTGGCTAGAGCTTGGAAGGCAGCCTCTGCAACCTTAATGTTGAGCAGAGTTGTGGAAGGCAGCCAACGCAACCCCAATGTTGACTAGCGCTGGGGTGTTAAAGAGAGCTCGGGGAGTGGCGGACGCCCTTAAGAGAACTTATCTCTCCTCCCGGAGTCTTCCCAACACCGTTACACAACACTTTAGAGAGGATCAGAGCCTCTGGCTCGGGCAAAACCGTACATTCAGATCCTATTGATTTATATAATCCCTCTACTGAGGTACACTTTTATCTAAATATTTCCTGTATATATATATTATTGAATATGACAAATTGAGTGAGATAAACGATTCTAACACGAATCTTTTCTCTATATATACACGCATTCAAAAAGGATAGGGGTGGTAGGAGAAGAAAATATCAAAGTGTTCAGTGAGGATCCACAAGGTCTGCTCTGAGTACTCTTTATTTTGTTCTCCGAGGTTATGGGTCCCTACACTTGCACCAGACGTGGTACCCCTTTTAGGTATATATATATATATATATATATATATATATATATATATATATATATATAACTGGTTATATATATAACACTGGTTATATATTATATATATATATATATCGAGGGGCCTCGTAGCCTGGTGGATAGCGCGCAGGGCTCGTAATTCTGTGGCGCGGGTTCGATTCCCGCACGAGGCAGAAACAAATGGGCAAAGTTTCTTTCACCCTGAATGCCCCTGTTACCTAGCAGTAAATAGGTACCTGGGAGTTAGTCAGCTGTCACGGGCTGCTTCCTGGGGGTGGAGGCCTGGTCGAGGACCGGGCCGCGGGGACACTAAAGCCCCGAAATCATCTCAAGATCTCAAGATAACCCCTAAATATATATATATATATATATATATATATATATATATATATATATATATATATTCTCAATTATATAATTAATATATTGCTTCAATATATTAATAATATTGTTACTAAATAAGCAATATGAAGAAAAATAAATTCTTCAGTCATAAGCAAATAATTTTCTTCTTTGTATTGTAATTGAATATCAATAGATGAAAAATAAATATTAAAAATATATATATTTTGTCCAGAAGAATAACACACATTTCCCCATTCACCGTCTCAAACCCTACTGACAAGCACTCAATTATCTTCAATTGATCTTGTGTTAAATGGCTTGCGTGTTTATCCTCCAAGGAGCTCTGAGCCTATTGGCTTTCGAGACAGGGCGTGTCCTTAACAACGAAAATCTATAACGAATTGTATCGTCAACAGCGAACTTACTAAAAGATGTTTTGTGTGGCTCCATTGACACCTTGTTGACAGGCGAGAAGTCACAATAACGTGGCTAAAGTATGTTGACCAAACCACACACTAGAAGGTGAAAGGACGACGACGTTTCGGTCCGTCCTGGACCATTCTCAAGTCGATTGTGAATGGTCCAGGACGGACCGATACGTCTTCGTCCCGTCACCTTCTAGTGTGTGGTCTGCTCAACACCATGTTGACGTTCGTAATACACACAACAGGCGATTGACTGTTGTTAACTCCACGAATTAATGATGATCACGGTCGACAGACCATGAAAGCAAAGTGGTGACAGGAGGGATGGTAATAGAATGATGATAGATAGGGTGGAATAATAGTGTAATAAGGGATGATAATAAAATGGTGATAGATTGGTGTTCTCTCTCGCTCTTATTCTCTCTCTCTCTCTCTCTCTCACTCTCTTTATCTATCTCTCTGACCATCTCTTTCCCTCACTTCTCACGCACCCTCTTCCCAATCATCGTAACAAAAAGTATGTCCCATCTAACTAAAGGTTTTTAAATCAATGACTGAAATTATTACTTCCTAAACTCATACTAAAGTCTACGGACTCGAGGCAGACTATTTCACTTTAAAATTGAAATGGTGGAAATTGCACCTGATACCTGGTTGATGGGGTTCTGGAAGTTCTTCTACTCCCAAGCCCGGCCCGAGGCCAGGCTTGACTTGTGAGAGCTTGGTCCACCAGGCTGTTGCTTGGAGCGGCCCGCAGGCCCACGATGGAATGACATTGGGGCAGTTCCTCTCCTCAAGGAGGATGACCTCTGACCCCCGTCCCACGAAACACCAGATAAATCACCATTAATCCTGAAGAGTTTCATGATTTTGGCCTTCTACCTCGGACAGAAAGGCAGACAGACAGACAGAAAAATAGACAGTCATTCCCTGTAATAGATATAGATGAGGAACCAGGATGTACACGGGTCTCTGTCATTTTATCTCTCTGTCTGACTCTCTTAATCTGTCTGTCTGTCTCTTTCCAATCGTTTCTCCCTGGCTCTCTCCTTCCCATTATAATTACTTCCCTTCCTTCAATGCTCTCTCCCTTCCATTCTCCCTCCTTTTCAGTCTTCCTCCCTTACTCCAACTTTCATCCACTTTATCCTTTCCTCCATCCTATTTTCCCTTCTTCCCATTCTCCTTTCTTACCATTTTCCTTTCCATACTCCCTTTTTACCTCCATCCCATTCCTCATTCCATCAATTCTCCTTCCATCATTTCCGCCCTTCTATTCTCGCACCCTATCGTTCTCCCTCCCTCCCATTCATCTTCCATTCTCTCTTCCTTCCATTCTCCCTCTATTCCATCTTCCTTACCTCCCAACCTGCTTCCCTCCTGTTTCTGCCCTTGTCCTCCCTACCATTCTCCCAGTAGGCAAAATATATTCGAATAACGCTAGATCAACGTTGAATTAACGTTATCGAGGTTCAATAAACGTTATGAACGTTCAACGTTGATAAGTTGGAGCTTGTCTTATTATACCATGCAGGGTGACTGGTGGGGCCATTGAACTCTTCCCTGTGAAGCTTAGTGTGAGCTCTTTTTTGCATCTCTTTCAGACCTCTAATGGGGGGGACCCTTTGAAGTCTGAAATGATCGTTTTTTGGCCAATAGCGATTCTTCCCTTGTTCAAAACATTACAATTATTGTCACGCAAACAATGTCCTGATGAGAGAGTTGCATTTTTGGGGGCTCTTATAACTATAGTAAAATATAATATCCCCGCCTCGTAACACATATATATTAAACACTAAGCCATATATGAATCAAACACAAAGTCATATATATATGAAACACAAAGCCAACCTATAATTAGCATCTTCCGTAACTCCTGATATTTTCTCAAACATCGGATACGACCCCTGCCACATCGGATACGAGCCGTGAATCATCGGATACGACCCGTTTCACGTCAGATACGACACGCGACCCACCGGATACGACCCGTTTCACACCGGATACATCACTCACAAAACGGAACACTTACCTTAGTAATCTTCTCCGCATTGTGGCTTCCGTCATCATTCCGGATCTCGACACTGGACATCGTCATGATTGCTGGTGTTTTTCGGTAACCGGCCACGAGACAGAAACACCGGGATCCGTTGCTTCGGCTGGTAACCGGACTCTCTGTCCGCTCACTCCAACAGAGCCACTTAATAATGCCAATTTTCACTATTTTTATTTTTCACTTAACCATGTCCTTCCCTATTTGTATCTCTAATAGGTGATCTACTGATTTAAACATTCTTCATATCACAATGGTGGAGATCATGTCTGCTTTATTTGTAAACAAATCAATTTATTTATCTAAAAAAAACAATTTTGTATTTCCTTTTTCCTTGGATCCAGTAATATAATTTAAAGGCAATATTCTTTCACGAGTTTTTTCTCGATCGCCTCATTTTTCAGGCACACGATTCACAGATGGGAGCAGCGCCCCCTTGTATCAGCTGTGTCGCCCCTGCCAGACACACTCGCACTCAAGGTAGAAAATTGTCTAAAAATAATAAATAAATGAAACAAAACACTCCTGCATCTCTCTCTCTCTTTCTTTTCCAACACTTTCCAACAATCGACAAAAAGATCACATGTTTGTTTCAATTATTTTTGTAATAGATTCACCACTTGAAAAGTTTATTGGTGGGTTTGTGTCGGGGGAAAAGCATGCTCCCCCTCTGTAAATATATGGGAAATTTTTAATAAACTTCAATAAGTGTTGTTATGATATCTCACAGTGAAGAAAAAGCGATCATATGGGATCTATTTTGTTAATTATAAGAAGAGAATTATGAGTGGGAGGAAAGAGCCAAAGCCATTACGACTATATAGCACTTGAAAGGGGGTCAGGATAAGGATTTGGGATGGGACGGGAGAAAGGAATGGTGTCCAACCACTTGGTGAACGGTCGGGGATTGAACGCAGATCAGCATGAAGCAAGACCTGCATATAATCTTAAAATAAGATTATATGTTAATAATAGCTTCAACATTGGGAAACATCAATAAATAAAGATCTAACAACAAGTATAATTATGGTAATAATAATAATGATGAAATCTACGAGGACTGTGTGGTGGATGCGAACTACGACCCCGGCATTGCAAGTCACGTACACTACCACTGGACCCACAACATGATTTTTGTGAACTGAACCGCTTTTCCAGGGGGGAGAGTACGTGACTGGCAAAGCTGAGGTCGAAGGTTCGCGCCCCCATCACAGCCGTCGTGGATTTTTTCATTGATATAAATCACGTTAGAGTGATTTCTGTGGGTTAATAATTATTTTCGTGGTTCCCCAAAAGACATTTTCCCAGCGGCCGCAGATACCCGGACAGCCGGATGGAATCACATTGTACAGGGGATTCTCGGGTGACGGAGTGGCCGGATCTAAAGAGACTCCACCTCGGAAATCCTCAACCGGCTCGGCCCATGTGGCCTCACGGCTTATTTTGGCCCCGGGGGATATTATTCGACCCAGAGATTTTTCCAATTTTTTTTTTTCTGATGGGGTCCGGAATATGAGTAGTGTTCGTTCAAGAAATATATTACAAGCGTTCGACCGTATATAGAAAATATATATACCCTATACGAAATAATTATATTTGATAAGACACACTTGCAGTAGGAGGAAAACATTTTCAGGGGAAAAGATTTCTATCATTTGATCATTGACTCAGAAGCAATAGTCAATTTACATATTTTTTTCTCTGGGGGACTAAACTGTCACCCAATTTATTATTTTATCTATTCTGAAGTAACAGCATTCCCATGAAGACAAATTCGCTGTTCTGACAACTACTTTACTGCCATTTTTGACGACCGTAGCGTCAAAATTTCATTGCTTTAGTGAAATGAAAAACACCGAAAAATTAACGTTTTCTTGGGCTCAGACGCAACGGCCTCTAGTGTTCGGATAGGCTCGTACGCTGTACGCTCGGACGGATAGGCCAAACCACTGAAAATCAGACGGTTATCAAACCAACAGAATGGACTATCGACTGAACATTTCTTCCACACAATCTATATAGATACAGCATTCAATCGTTTAAGATAGCAGGAGGAAACTTATTAAAGTCCAGTATGGTGAGAGGATAAAAACTAATTAAATTCCCCTACGGTGACAGGAGAGAGTTTATTTGGTTCCTATACGGTGAACGGATTAAACTTATTAAAATCCTGTATTGCGGCGGAAAGAAGCCTTTTCAGTTCCTGTGTGGTGCTAGGAGGAATGTAAATAAATTTCCTGTACGGTGGATGGAGAAAGCCTAATTAATTCCGGTACGGTAGTAGAAGGGGAAATAATCGCAAATAATTTAATAATTTCAGCGTGCGATCGTGTGCTGTCATTCAGGTGCTCAAGTATGTGTGTTCTATGATCAATGATCATATAAGATCAGTACTTTTATGTATATATATATATATATATATATATATATATATATATATATATATATATATATATATATATATATATATATATATATATATATATATATATATATATATGTCGTACCTAGTAGCCAGAATGCACTTCTCGGCCTACTATGCAAGGCCCAATTTGCCTAATAAGCCAAGTTTTCCTGAATTAATATATTTTCTGTAATTTTTTTCTTATTAAATGATAAAGCTACCCATTTCATTATGTATGAGGTAATTTTTTTTATTGGAGTTAAAATTAACGTAGATATATGACCGAACCTAACCAACCCAACCTAACCTAACCTAACCTATCTTTATAGGTTAGGTTAGGTTAGGTAGCCGAAAAAAGTTAGGTAAGGGTAGGTTAGGTTGGTTAGGTAGTCGAAAAACAATTAATTCGTGAAAAATTGGCTTAATAGGCAAATTGGGCCTTGCATAGTAGGCTGAGAAGTGCGTTCTGGCTACTAGGTACGACATATATATATATATATATATATATATATATATATATATATATATATATATATATATATATATATATATATATATATATATATATATATATATATATATATATATATATATATATATATATATATATATATATATATATATATATATATATATATATATATTGATTATTAGTTTTTTATTATTTGTTGATTTTTCATTGGTTGCAAATTATGGTTTCAGGTGTTTCTTATGCTTTTTTTAACGAAGCATATTTTTTCTTCCTATTCGTTTCAAAGGCAATAGTTAAGTGTTGCAGTTGAGAGACCAATGCAGTTTATTAGTTTTAAGCATGTAAATGAACAAGTTAATTCACTAAATTTCTTGCAGATTTCAGAAACTCTGACAAGTTTATTTTGGTATAGCTCATTTTCAAAATTTAAAACTGGCTTTGTTATTTTAGAATTTTATGAGACCCCCAAAGATCTTTTTAGTCAATATAGGTCAAATTTATGGAGACAATATCTGCAATAGTATGTCCATCTTTATTTTTTGAGGACCTTATTTATTTTTCACATTAAATGTTTTAAATATTTTTGACACTATAATTACAATAACAAATAAGAAAGTGAGATTTGAAGAGTTAACTAAATGCTTTAAATGAACCGTTTATCCTTATTATCTGGTTGAAGCCAGACCCTAAATAAAGGGAATTAAATAAAGATAAGATGATCGTCAGGAGAAGGGCTTAGCCAGAATGATTTTACAGCCCTTGCAAGGACGTGAAGACAAGGAGCTGCCAGGATGGACAAAGGAAATATTTCCTAACCATTCTGACTATAAGAAAATGAGCTCCGCCGCTTTAAAAAGCAAGGTCGTTGCCCTGCAGAAAGGTCTAAGGTAAGATAGTCTTCTGTGGAAAATTCTGAGCCCGGCTGTATAATAGAACTTTTGAAAGGATCCGAGGATAAGGAACTTGAGTGTGAAAGGAAGCATAGAATCTTGGATCATGGCGGATACACATGTTGGAGGAACTTTTCTATATCTTTGATATGACTCTGAATGGATTCTTTTTCAATATTTTTCTTTACATCTGAATTGATTCTTCCTTTCGTTTTGCCACCGTGCTTTTATCTGCAGGTATGTGGACTCATCCACCCTTCTCTTATCGCACTCACGTCTCGTTTATCCTCTCATCTCATTCACTCCTCTCTTCTATTTGCTTCTCCATCCTTCTCCATCTCTCTCTCCTCATTTCCCTCCTGTTTTATTTCATCCCCCAACTCCTATTCTCTCTCATCCTAATTCTATTTCCTTCTCATTTCCACCCACTCATCCAATTACCTTTAATAGGCTTGCCTCACCTTTCTTCCTTTACCTCTTTATACCTTCTCTTCTTCCTTCCTTCCTGCTACCTCTCACCACCAACCACTTCCTACTCTAATTGCCAATTTCTCCATTAGCCGTCTCCCCGACCAACACATACCCTCTCAAGAAACCTTCTACCCCTCTTGCCTATTCTCCTCCCCCTAGAATCCCACGTGTTTACTCCGCTTTCCACACCACCTCCCCCCACCGTAATGTTCCAGTCACTCTTTATCTCTCTCTCACAATTCTCATTACCACTATCTCCTCTCTGTTGCCACTTATTTCACTATTCACGCGTTTCTCTTCTGCCAGTTTCTACTCCTTTTGGCCACCACCTCTAACCTCCCTATTCATTAGACTCTAGCCACTAGTCTCAGTGTAACGTGAACTAGTGCCTTTGGTGGAAGTGTTTCCAAATGTGTTTTTGCCACTGGATGAATGGATTCGCTGATGGGTGGCACTCAGTTCTTCCCAGGTTCTGTTGCAGCTTTGCCACACATTAATAGCCAAAATCAGGACACTAAAAGATGCAGTACGTCGACCGACGGAATGACAGGGATTATCGAAAGGATGAGGAGATATCAGTGGAAAATGCAAGGGGGAGACCGCGCTACGTTTCCGCGCTAAGGTTTGGTGATGGTGCCGGTTAAAGGCATTTAGGTATTTCATGTGCAGGCGATGAGTCACAATAACGTGGCTGAACTATGTTGACCAGACCACACACTAGAAGGTGAAGGGACGACGACGTTTCGGCCCGTCCTGAATCATTCTCAAGTCGATTGTGTGAATGGTCCAGGATGGATCCAAACGTCGTCGTCCGTTCATTTTCTAGTGAGTGGATTGGTTAACCTAGGTATTTCATATTCATGAACGTACCTATTCCTTAGTGCAATCATATTAATTAACAAATGGATTTCGTTCCTCAGCAAAAACTCTATTTAAACGAGGGATGAGATGATGACCTGAGTGGACATGTTGGAAGAAGTTAATATGACCTTTAACTGCCTGGGGACTAAACGTCTGGGTGTGGACATGAGCAATACAAAAGTAGCAGCAGAGGACGTTATGGTGACGTTGTATAAGTACCTTCATGTGAGAGGCATTATACACCTAGAGGTATCTTCATGAAACCGGTATCTTTCTCGTAAAGATATCCTCGCATGAAAGATACGATTGAAACCGTCGTACGACAAGTGCCTTCTTGCAACAAGTGTTTGCCTGATGAAAGCATCAATGACTCAAACAAAAGCACGGTCCTCTTCCAGAGTTTGATAATGGTAGCTTGGTGTCAAGGGCCTTGTGTCGTGCTGCTTTGGGGCTACTAAATTATATACTAATAAGAGTTTAACCTCATCTAAGCGTAGTTCCTAAGCTGTGCAAGGGTACATGGAGCTGATTTTGAAATGAACAAATCAACAATCTCATCTAATTTACATTTTATTAACTGAACACAAATAATAGCACAAATAATTACAGAAGGAACCAAATCCAGTGACTCTACGTGAGTCATAAATGAGGAGTTTGCATTAAGTTAATTATCGTGTTATTTAGCATTCCATAGTATGGATATCCTGTGACCATTATTTCATGACCCGATTCCCAAGGTCAAAATCTATTTAGAAGTTAGAAGTTAGAATATTTAGAAGTTAGAGAATATCATCCATGGTTTATGTCACTAGATAAGTTGTCAGCTGATCAATACTCTCGGTATGATACTAGATTGATCACCAAGCTTACTGTACTGATACCTGACCTCCAAGTTACACGCCCCCCCCCCTCACCAATCTTACCAGATAAACTTCCCCATCAACCATTACATCCACTTACCAGCCACCCCCATTAACCTGCACTCTTGCTATCCCCCTACCTTGCCTTTAGCAACCCTTATGATTACTCCATATTATTCCCTGGAATCTCCCTTCCTGCCCCTTTGTCTGCCAGCCCCCTTAGCACCCTTTGAAAGCCCTGTAATAGCCCTCTAACAGCACCCTCCGTGTGCATCCTGGCCCCATTACTTGCGAAACTCCTCTTCCTCTACACCAAGGTGCGATAACTCAATTGCATGTCATCCATTATCACAATGCCAATCATTGTCTGTAAGCCCAATTAGCCTACCACCTAGATGTCAATGGTCTATTACCCATTTCCCACTTGGCAGACATATATCTACTGCATAGCCTGACCATGTCATACAAGTCACTCTACATGCATGGCGTTTGGGTCCCCACTTAACTCTAATTCATTCTTCCTGTCTACCATTCTGGTCTTAAACATTTGCCACTTAGTATCCCGCTGTTTGGTTCCCCAAACAGCGGGATACTAAAGCGGGATACTCCCAGCGGCGTGCTAAAATACTTCCCCTTTCAGCCGCTCTGTGCCCGTCATACAGTCTCACTCACGGTGCCAGACTCTCCTTGTCTGTAACTCACTTTACATCCCATCCATGTTATCAGTCTCTCTCAGAGCATCCAGGCACACTATCAGTCATCCAACCCTCCGCAGCTCTGCCACTCAAATCCTGTTCCTGATCTCGTAGCTTCACTTACGGCCGCCAATCTCACCATCTGCTGCCATGCAAGACATATTACCATCCTGACTTCTGACTGCTTTCTCTTCTGGTTCGCCCTCAATATCACCTTGTACCAAAAAATTATATATGTTTAAAAATACATTGAAAGATTTATTTTACTTAAATCCGGAGCATTTGCTATTAACGAAAGTATACTATTCTTTGATAAGGTGTAATTATAATGCTCTATAATAATGATAGAAAATTTGGTGAGTGAGTTAGAGGAACGTTTTATATATATTACGAAGGAATCACACTATTAGTTCTAGTATGATATAAATCCACAAGGGCCGTGACAAGGATTCGAACCTGCGTCCTGGACCATCCCAGACGCTGCCTTAATCGACTGAGCTACATGGTCAAAAGAGTTGAAATCGAAGTTCTACTGAACTTACTGGACCCTGCAGCCTCTCCGAGACACAAACCAGAGTTTTACACAAATGATGCATCATCGTGATGCATCACGCTATTGTGATTTCTGTGTGTAGTATGATACATTTTACCAAACAAGGCAAGATAATTATATCTATTTAAGAGATAGAAAAATATATGTGCAAAATGGTTGGAATGAATATGAGATCAGAATGAAAGATTAGTCACAACTCAGTGTACCCATATGGGATCGAACGCTGATCTTGAAAGTAGCAAAACCGTAGCTGTACCAACTAGTCTAAGTGGGGACAAAAATAATCCATTCCATATTGGGCCGAGAAAATGGCGGACAGGACAGACGCAACACAGCTTTAAACATATCTGGAAGCAGCAGTACCCAAGACTCTTAAATGTGCCTGACCTTGCTTCGCTCCCATTCAGTCCTAGCTAATCCTGACTTAACAAATCAATGAACACTACTCTTCCATTACTCAATTATGCAGTTATATTCACTATTCAAGCCATCGTTATTCTTCATGCACCAACAATATTTAATCCCTTCTTCCTCCTCCCATTCTACTACATGATAAATTTAAAATTTATCAATTGTAACCTACAATTTATCGAAATCTTTCGTCCCATTTCCTATATTCTCACTACTCTCCCTCGAGTACATCTATAGTAAAACTTTTATCCGCACTCATACTATTGACACCTCAAACCCTCGAATCTGTCGACAGGAACATGACCATCTACCATCATTAGCCAGCATAGACAACTCACTATATGGAAGAAGAGCTCATGACCCCCTAACTTACTCAGGAAGAACCTCTTCCGGATCATATAAGTCCTTGAAAGGAACACACGTCATAGATATATTTACATACCCACATTGGGATGTCCAGACCCCACGAGGTCAACGAATATGTAAGACGAGGAACATTATTTTTTAAAGTAAATGACGATACATAAACATCAAGATTCTCATAGTTTCTTAATTCAACTCTATTATCGCCAGAGATATCCTGACCAAAGAAAAACCCGAAATAATCGATAGAAACGAGTAATTTAGGAGGTTACTACAAGGCAGACGTAATATATATGAAATACACATTCAAGTATATTCAGGCAGTATATTCTATGGTATGTTTACCCATCTTCAAGACCAAAACTTTGGTCTTAAAGATTTTGAATTTCTAGCTCAAATAACACCTGCTTCCTCAACCGTCCATTGAGAATGCTGAACAAAATATATAATTTCTCTCTATTGGGAAGCATCTCAAGTTATATATGTATATATATATATATATATATATATATATATATATATCATAATATACCCTTTCGTGACATGCATAAGGCTTGATAAATTGTTAAACTGAACTTAAGATGGTTAATAAATCAACTTTCTTTCTAAATGAAAAAGAATATAACTCTTTCGGTCATATTCAACAACACATACCTACAAAAAAGACTGCTTTCAAAATTACTATAACCAAACATCTGTGGAGAATTGAAATGAAAGATTAAATATTTATATGACTCAACATGAGTTAAAAACACCAAAATAAGTTTATTTTTATCAAGGGACACAAGACCAAACACTCTTCTAGTCAGAAGACGAAATTAACTAACAAACAATATAGTGTAAGACTCACAGACGTTCAAATCAGATCTCGTTTTAGTAATATGGAAGAATTTCAGAATATTAAGGTTTAATCTAACGGAACGGGACGTTATAACAATGCAGTCGCTGTAGGTGAAAGGGCGATTCGTGGTTCTACAATGACCACGTATTACAGAGGAAGCAGCTTACCAGAGGAAGAAAATCTATGTGATTCGAGATGCCCAAAACGTCCAAAAATGAGGTATTGTGAGGAGGCGATTAATCTGATTAATCTTTGTATATGCCTCGTTCCTATTTACGTCCCCTATTCTTCTCCCATTTATGCCCTATTCTTCCTTTACGATGTCTTCCTCAGCTTTTGGATTTATGCACTTGACCTTCTTAATGGTATAAATCTACTAAGCCTAGCACTCTCCCTACGGGGTCACCATAGCCCGTGCTACGTGGACATTTCGTTCTGAGGAGCTAAATCTAAAACAACAACAACAGCACTCTCACATCACTTGAGAATGATCCATGTAGGTTCGAAACGTTGTGTAAATATATAATAAATGTAATATACTGTATGGTTAATTGTTTCTTTTTCTTCACCTCGAACAAAGATGACATTTGGAGAAAACCTCTTCTCCAAATTAAAAAAAAATATGAAAATAATCAATTCAGAATATGCAGTCATATTGAATTATAGATATAAATGAAAAACATATATATATATATATATATATATATATATATATATATATATATATATATATATATATATATATATATATATATATATAATGTAAACTGAATTGCGATGAACCGCTGCACGATTCACTCCAGCTTTCACTTCAATATTGATATATGTTGTTCGTAAATTGAATTCACATCTAAACGTTTCGTTCATATATTTTTCCTTTTTATTTTAATATAATATTATAATGATAACTTTAATACGACTAAAATGATTTGAAGTGTTGTTTAGTTTTAACAAAATAAATCAATATAATAGTTAATGACTTCAATTGCTTTTGACTTTTCTCAAATAAAAAATAACTTGTAATAGTGTCCATTGATACTCATTTCTTTCCTAATATTGGAGTACATTTTTAGCTTAATGTATCACATCTGATACACATCAATAACATTATCATCCAACTAACATACAATTGCCACCATTAACTTTGAACACTATTTAATATCATTTCAGATACCTGCGCATGATCTACACATCAATTGTAAAAAGTTTGCTATTGTGATTTTAGGACTTTATGCCTTTACTAGAAAAATCTTCAACTCCTACAACATAGGTTTACGAAGCTGAAAACGTTTCTTATATATATATATATATATTAACAAATAGATGCGATACTCATTAGTATCAATCAAACATATATTAATTCAAATATTAATATTTCTTCACTGATTTAAAACACATTTTCTTTTATCACACAAAAACACTTTTCACTTTAATTCTATGGATGATGAATGAATTTCCACGATATATGGGAGGTATATTTCCAAGACCAACTTGGCGCAAAAAATCCTGGAAGCGCAGGTTGGGAGTGGTGGGCAGGGAGGGAGCGGAGCGGAGCGTCACTGTGCATCCCTCCCCGCGGCCAGTGAGACACTGACCGTCTCCATTTGCGTCTACCCTCACAGGTAACACGGGTGCCACTTATTGTTTTTTTCCTTGCCTTTAAAAGGACTACGTGATGACTGTCAATTACAGCGGCCATTATATAATTACCAGATCAAGAAAGGACTAACGATTGATGGTTCTTTACGCTTGACCTCAATTTGTTTTCGACTCAATTATTTGATAAAACTACCCAAACGTGTAATTACGAAAGATAATACATGAACTCTGTATAGCTTCCATTTGCCTAACTAAATAGATAATAGCTTACATTCCAAATAAAGGAATGTATGAAAGATAAACACCATAAACAATGGTGGAAAAGCTGATGATATGCAGGCGATGAGTCACAATAAAGTGGCTAAAGTATGTTGACCAGGCCACACACTAGAAGGTGAAGGGACGACGACGTTTCGGTCCGTCCTGGACCATTAACAATCGACTTGAGATTGGTCCAGGACGGACCGAAACGTCGTCGTCCCTTCACCTTCTAGTGTGTGGTCTGGTCAACAGTTGATGGTATGGTATCAGCTGCTTCACCTGTCGCTCTTCAAGTCTAGGTGTGACCAGACACATGCTGGCTTCCCAGAAGGTCACACCCACTTTCCTTCTCCTTGGACAAAAGCACGTTTGTCCGAGCTGAATCCAATCTTAGAATCCAATCTCAGACTCCTCGACTCCTACTCTCTCTCTCTCTCTCTCTCTCTCTCTCTCTCTCTCTCTCTCTCTCTCTCTCTCTCTCTCTCTCTCTCTCTCTCTCTCTCTCTCTCTCTCTCTCTCTCTCTCTCTCTCTCTCTCTCTCTCTCTCTCTCTCTCTCTCTCTCTCTCTCTCTCTCTCTCTCTCTCTCTCTCTCTCTCTCTCTCTCTCTCTCTCTCTCTCTCTCTCTCTCTCTCTCTCTCTCCCCCGACATCCAAAAAGAGTTATTTCTAGATCATCCTGAATATGAATAGATATTGCAGAGGGATGAATCTTGAGAGGAGAGATTAGCATGAAGGAACTAGACCAGTTCCAACCTCTAGTCGCCTAAAAAGTAGCGAATTTTTGTACCTCAGAATACAGTTTTATGGATTACTTAATATCAATGTATTTTTATTTTGTTGTTAATTTTTGCAACCTTGAGGGTTTCTATTTGACGTTATATACCAATGCAAATCATTTTGAGGCAATGGAGTGACTTGAACTCGCAATCTGGTGATTCCCAGACGCCTGTCTTAACCGACTCGGCCACGATGGTACAATAGATGATCAACCGAGAACTGTAGTGACTTCTCTGGTGGGTTACGGAGGCCCAAGAACCTTACGGAACAACAGCGAACACTTTCCGAGTGTGTAGAATGACGCAACCTGTCTGGACTCCCCTGGTTCACTCGGTACAACTTTCCTTCGCTAAATCAATAATGTTCAACAAGAGACATTGCTCACGTCTCAAGATGTTCCATGTGTCAGTATGATTATGCTTGTGTTCGATGGCTTGTTGTCTGTGATAATGTGTGTGTGTGTGTGTGTGTGTGTGTGTGTGTGTGTGTGTGTGTGTGTGTGTGTTTTTGTTTGTGTGTGTGTGTGTGTGTGTGTGTGTGTGTGTGTGTGTGTGTGTGTACTCACCTATATGTACTCACCTATATGTACTCACCTATATGTGCTTGCAGGATCGAGCATTGACTCTTGGATCCCGCCTTTCTAGCCATCGGTTGTTTACAGCAATGACTCCTGTCCCATTTCCCTATCATACCTAGTTTTAAAAGTATGAATAGTATTTGCTTCCACAACCTGTTCCCCAAGTGCATTCCATTTTTCTACTACTCTCACGCTAAAAGAAAACTTCCTAACATCTCTGTGACTCATCTGAGTTTCCAGTTTCCACCCATGTCCCCTCGTTCTGTTATTATTACGTGTGAACATTTCATCTATTTCCACTTTGTCAATTCCCCTGAGTATTTTATATGTCCCTATCATATCTCCTCTCTCCCTTCTTTTCTCTAGTGTCGTAAGGTTCAGTTCCTTCAGCCGCTCTTCATATCCCATCCCTCGTAGCTCTGGGACAAGCCTCGTCGCAAACCTCTGAACCTTCTCCAGTTTCTTTATGTGTTTCTTCAGGTGGGGGCTCCATGATGGCGCGGCATACTCTAAAACGGGTCTCACGTAGGCAGTGTAAAGCGCCCTAAAAGCTTCCTCATTTAGGTTTCTGAATGAAGTTCTAATTTTCGCCAGTGAAGAGTACGCTGCTGTCGTTATCCTATTTATATGTGCCTCAGGAGTTAGATTAGGTGTCACATCCACTCCCAGGTCTCTTTCTCGAATCGTTACAGGTAGGCTGTTCCCCTTCATTGTGTACTGTCCCTTTGGTCTCCTGTCACCTGATCCCATTTCCATAACTTTACATTTACTGGTGTTAAACTCCAGTAGCCATTTCCCTGACCATCTCTGCAGCCTGTTTAAGTCCTCTTGGAGGATCCTACAATCCTCGTCTGTCACAACTCTTC